GGCATCCTGGCCTGGGAAGGGGATGGGATGGGACATATGGAGTCCTGGGAGCGAAGGGGTGCCCTGGGGATGGAGGAAGCCCATGGGGGCCATGCAGGAGGAGATGGCCCCAGGTGCACCGCGGTGTTGGTGCTCCGGCCATGTGAGGGGAGCAGCTGGCGGCAGCTGAAAACCTCTCCTCCCGCCCAGGCCAACCTGGCGCTGTGGCTCTCCATGATCGGCCTGTCCCAGTACTACAAGGTGCTGGTAGAGAACGGCTATGAGAACATCGACTTCATCACGGACATCACGTGGGAGGACCTGCAGGAGATCGGCATCACCAAGCTGGGTAACGCCCGGCCTCCCCCAGACCCTTGGCCGTAGCCATTGCCTGGCATCTGGCGCTGGCCCTGGTCACGGTCCCCCTGATGCCGCGTGTCGTCCTCAGGCCACCAGAAGAAGCTGATGCTGGCAGTGAAGAAGCTGGCAGAGCTGCAGCGGGCCGAGTTTGGCAAGTACGAGTCGGGGACGCTGAAGAAGAAGGCGCCGCCACCGTCGCAGGAGGTGTTGGCCATCGAGTCGCCGCCGCCGGAGCCGCCCGAGTGCCAGTCGCCCAAGATGACCCCCTTCCAGGACAGCGAGCTCAGCAACGAGCTGCAGGTGGCCATGACGGGCGAGGGCCCCGAGGAGCCGCCCGAGAAGCAGCCCAACCACGTGGCCCACGTGCGGGAGGCCAAATGTGTGCATGTGCATGTGTGTGCATATACATGTGTATGTGTGTGCATATACGTGTGTGTACATGTGTGTGTGTGTGTACACGTATGTGTGTGTACATGTACGTGTGTGTGCATATACATGTGTGTGAGTGTACATGTGTATGTGCGTGCATGTACGTGTGTGCATATACATATGTATATGTGTGCATATACGTGTGTGTGCATGTGTGTGTGCATGTACATGTGTGTGAGGGTACATGTGTGTGTGCGTGCATGTACGTGTCTGTGTACATGTATGTGTGTGTGCGCATACATGTGTGTGTGCATATACATGTGTATGTGTGTACGTGTGTGTGTACACGTATGTGTGTACATGTACATGTGTGTGCATATACATGTGTGTGAGTGTACATGTGTATGTGCGTGCATGTACGTGTGTGCATATACATATGTATATGTGTGCATATACATGTGTGTGTGCGTGTATGTGAGGACGCGTACGTGTGTGTGCATGTGTGTGTGCATGTACATGTGTGTGAGCGTACATGTGTGTGTGCGTGCATGTACGTGTGTGTGTGCATATACATATGTGTGTGTGCATGTACGTGTGTGTGTGTGCATGTACATGTGTGTGTACATGTATGTGTGTGTGCGCATACATGTGTGTGTGCATGTGCATGTGTGTGCATATACATGTGTATGTGTGTGCATATACGTGTGTGTACATGTGTGTGTGTGTGTACACGTATGTGTGTGTACATGTACGTGTGTGTGCATATACATGTGTGTGAGTGTACATGTGTATGTGCGTGCATGTACGTGTGTGCATATACATATGTATATGTGTGCATATACGTGTGTGTGCATGTGTGTGTGCATGTACATGTGTGTGAGGGTACATGTGTGTGTGCGTGCATGTACGTGTCTGTGTACATGTATGTGTGTGTGCGCATACATGTGTGTGTGCATGTGCATGTGTGTGCATATACATGTGTATGTGTGTGCATATACGTGTGTGTACATGTGTGTGTGTGTGTACACGTATGTGTGTGTACATGTACGTGTGTGTGCATATACATGTGTGTGAGTGTACATGTGTATGTGCGTGCATGTACGTGTGTGCATATACATATGTATATGTGTGCATATACATGTGTGTGTGCGTGTATGTGAGGACGCGTACGTGTGTGTGCATGTGTGTGTGCATGTACATGTGTGTGAGTGTACATGTGTATGTGTGTGCCTGTGCATGTGTGTGCGTGTACATGTGTGTGCATGTATGTGTGTGCACATGTGCATGTGTGTGTGTGCATGTACATGTGTGCATATACATGTGTATGTGTGTATGTACATGTGTGTTCCTGTACATGTGTATGTGTGTGCATGTACATCTGTGTGCAGGTACATGGATATGGGTGTGTGTGCATATACATATGTATGTGTATGTGCGTGTACATGTGTATGTGTGCATGTATGTGTGTACGTGTACGTGTGCATATACATGTGTGTGTACATGTGTGTGCGTGTCCATGTGTATATGTGCACGTACATGTGTGTGTGCAGGTACATGGGTGGGGTGTGTGTGCATGTACGCGTGTATGCATATACATACATGTGTGCATGTACATGCACACATGTACGTGCCTGTGCACGTCTACATGTGGGTGTGCATGCACATGTTATGTGTCTGTGTGTATGTGCGTGTGCACATGTATATGTGCATGTGCATGTTATGAGCATGTGCACACGTGTGTGTGCAGGTGCACATGTATGTGCATGTTATGAGCAAGTACATGTGCATATGTCTGTGTGCACGTGCACACGTATGTGCATGTGCTTTGCCCCCACCCCTGAACCGCCGTCCCCCCCGCAGGGTGACGGAGCGGGCGGCCACCAACCGCATGACGGGCCACAACCTC